GTGGGGGGCTCTCCACAAGCCCCGCGATGCCCCTACCACTCCCCCAGCCCCACCACAGCTGCCCTGCTCACCCCAGCTCTGGCTCTTTAAGAAAAAAACAAATGGAGAAAAGCCTCTGGCAGCACCTGCTGAGTTGGGGCTTTTTTTTCCCCCCAAGTGCAGGGGTGAGCGGGGCAGCCATTGCCGGGCTGGGAATACTGGCAGGGGATGGGCCTGGCTGATTTGGAGATTCGGCAGTAGCCAAAACTTCAAATCAGATTCAGCCGAATCGATTCAGGACAGTGATTTGAATCAATAAATCAAATCACTGTCGCCCAAATCGGCTGAATCTGAAGCGAATACTAGCCGCTGCACACAGGCCTACTAATCAACAGCACATGAACATGACTATTTTTTTCTGAAATAGCTGTTTTTGTTTACTGTACAATTATTAAAAACTTGTCCTAGAAGCTAGCTTCTGAGGATCACTCAGAAACTGAATATTAAATGCTAGTAATGACTTACTAGAGAGATTATTTTTAGAGGATGTTAGTTTAACATGTATTTCTATTGCAGGCATTTGAAGAAAATATTTTTGAGAGGAATCCTTGTAGTCCCTCTTACAGAAATATAAAATAGATTAAACAAATGACCTGCATTTGGATATCCTGGGAATAACTGAAAATTCTAATAAAACTGCCTAGTATGCTGAGCCTCATACTGATTTTCCAACAATAAAAGCAGTTACATTAAATGGAATTATGCATGTATTTAGTCATCTCACATTAAGGTTCTGACTCTGAAGCTTTGTTAGATAACTGAAAAATCCTCTTTGACTCCTAAATCATATATGACATGAGCTAGAATGCTCCTCAAACCACATTCTAATGCCAAACAGAAGTTCTCTGCATGTCAGATCTCTCATTCAAACTATAACGAGCAGAAAACTCTTGCAGAAGTGAATAAATATCCTTATTCTCACTAAGGGAAGGGAAAAATAGAGTAGGAAAGTATCTGAATAAGAAGCAGTTATTTTTTGGTGTAATTTTACCCTCCTTTAATGTTCATATGTGTATCAAAGTATTCACTTTCTGCATATTCAGAAATATTTTAAACAACATTAACATGTTTTTATTATTTCCCAAAAATGCATTAGTAACAGTGACCCAGGTAAAAAAAAAAAAAAAAAAAAAGGTAATATCTTAGTGATATAAAATAGTGGCAGAAACTGTCAAGATGTCAGGACATAACAAACTGTATAGAAACCAATAGTAATCTTGGGGCAGAATGTGGATTTCCCAGGTCCGACTCATTTGCTCTAAACTTAAATCCATCTTTCTTAAGTATCATATTCTTATTTTATATCTACCACATAACAGCAAAAAAAGAAATGAAATAAATTAAAAAGAGAATTCACACCTTTCAGAACAACAAAATCCTAAAGCTAGCTCAACATTTTTTGTGATTTTTCTGTTGACTTTGTAAAAACAATGTAACATACTCTGGCTGTGCCAATGTTTAATGTCCATGTTCCCAAATATGCTTTATCAAGAGAAACAGATGTTTTTGGATAAAAACGACGAAGAATATATAGGCTCTTTTATTTAAATAGTAACAAAATGATAGCCATTGTGGTCTGTAGGTCCCTAAATATTAACAATTCCAATAGATCCAAACACAATACAAATATTCTGTCATAAACCTTTCCACAGGTTCCCCAAATATATTTTCATGGGTTTGTTGTCAACCACATTGATGCATTCCAGAAGGACAAGTCAATCTCAAAATCAATATGCACAATATGGGGATCGTAGGAAAGTAGGGCTGTAAAGGACCCCACAAGATCATCTAGTAAAGTCCCCTGCTCAAGGTGGGATCATCCCTGACTAAACAATCTCAGGCAAGTGTCTGTCTAACCTGCTCTTGAAAACTTCCAAGGATGGAGATTCCTCATTTTCTCTAGATAGCTTACTCCAATGCTTGACCACCCTTGTACTCAGAAAATTTCTGTAATCTCCAACCTAGATTTCCCCATGCGGCAGCCTGAGGTCATTGCTCCTAATCCAGTCCCCTACAGTCACAGAGAAAAATGCCCATCTCCATCTTTTCTGTAACCATCTTTCAGGAATTGGAGGAATTCTGGACTTAGTAGTAACTTGAACTGTTCCATTTGGTAAACTATTGCATAACCTGATCCACATAAACTTCCCTTTTCTTAAATTCACTTTATATCAAAGGCTGTTTCTTTACACCATTAACATGCCATTTCTAGATTTTTGTATAACCCCTTTGTATTTATTTCTGTACCATAATCAGATCCACTTGCAATCAGATCTTTAAAGGATAAGCAATTACTCTTCATAAAACAATTCTCCATATGCCAAATTAAGCCTTATCCACACCATCCAAATTAGAAATTCAGATGAGCAATTACAACATTTCTAGGAGGCTTGGAGCATTGTTGTAACCATGACTGTCAAGGAAGTGCTGAGAGATGAGACTTTTTTGTGATATCTGTTATTGGATCAATTGTACAGTTGAGAGAGCTGTTGGACACGCTTTTGGGCATTAGGTGTCCACGAGAAGCTTGTCCAACAGCTTTCCATATGATACAGTTGATCCAATTACAGATATCACAAAAAGTCTTGCCTCTAAACTCTTTTAGAGCATAAGCCATGTCATTATGGGAAGACCTGTAGTCAAGGAGCCTGAAACTTATTCTACCCTGGTTTATGAGATAAAAGGATACAGCAAGTATCAGAACACCTTCTTTGTTCTGATATCTATATATTTATGTCAGTAATATCAAGAGTGAAGTTGTTTTCCTGATAAAATAATTTATCTAGTTTGCTCATGGTTAAAATAGTCAATGGTTAACTATTTTTTCATGACCTCTTCTCCCTGCCCCCTACACCTCCCATTCTGGAAAAGTAACTTGAAGGTAAAAGATGATAATTTCATCTGATAATTTCATGAGTAGGTCTGGAAGTGTAATAAGCACTCCAAAGTTATTATAGGCAAAAGAGGTGGGGGAGGGGAGGGGGGGGAGGCAGGGGGCTTCCTATCGAACTTTGAATCACTGACTATAATAACATGTTCTGTTGCTTTATGCGTCACACTTTTTTTAAGTTAATATTTGTAAACTTAGCCTCAAAAATGGGATTTCATTCTGTTTGAATCACTTTGTTTCAGACACCCAAGATTCACATTAATTTTTAAAGAACTGCAGAAAACACATTACCATCCATCAAACCCCTAATAAAGAGCCAGTAAAGTTAAAATTAATTCTTTTTAGAGTGCTTAGGGTTTGACCACGGCCTCCAGTATGTGGTTGTGCATTACTGCATGCCTCATAAAAAGAGAGTGGAGAACCACAAGAACAGTAGCCAAATTAATGCTAATGGAAGATGCAAGAGAAATTGCTGATGTAATAAGACATGGCCATCTATTTACATAATTCACGACCACTGTCCACCTACCTAAAAGCCTTTAGCATGCCAGTAGAATCTCATGTGATCTTCAGATCATGGTATTTTATAGCTCACACTTGAAATAACTGCATTCTGTCAGTACATGGCTCTGCAATAAGCCCAAGCCATGACTTTTGCACTGTGAGTCAGCACGTAAGGGAAATTTGCTGGCACTTCGTGGCAAGCATGTCAAGGGGCCACAAGGACAAAAACAGAGTTAAAGCTTAAATTTAGCAATGAACGATGCTGAAGTCTAAAAACACAAATTACCTTCTGCATGTGGGACTGCAGCTCAACACAACCATCACAACATCTTTGGAATTACACATGGACCTGGCAATATCAGATTTCAAAAGGCATGACCATCAGCATTCAAGCATATTTTGAGGAAGGTCCAGCAAGAATTCTAACATCAGAGTTCTATAGTGTACGTATAATCATAATTCTGTAATACCCTAAACTTGAGCTTAGAAAGAGCTCTTGTTTCTGGAATGTGTATACATTTAAGAATTTGTTAGGCTTTTTGCTATGCAGGTGAGACAAAATACAGATGCCATGTTATGTTTTGCTAGCCATAACTATTAATGTCTAAAAGTTATTTAAACACATTCTCCTTTATCACCTGACTTTCAACTAGTGACAGCACAGAAACCACTAAGCT